GAGATATATATATAGCGTAAATTCGTTAACGAAGAAATCATTGAAGTTAACATTGGTTAATTAGTAACTGATTTTGGTTTGACAACTAAATTCAAACACAACATTTAACAAGTTAAATTTTGACTGAATTGTCTACGTTGATGACAAATAGACATAGTTGAATAGAATTATAGAAGTAATATATTGATAGCGAAAGAAACATGAAACTATCATTAAATCTATGAACATAAGGAGAGTAGCTTCGTGGTTTTTCTTATGGAGTGAGCACTGCGTCAAGTCTTAACGCAAAAATATGAGCAATTTATCATAGTTTTTTGTTATCTTGGGAAAGATGCTACTCTAAGGTGGAACTTGATAATGACTCCATAGAATTTGTTTTTTTTTTTGAGAAAAATTTAAAAAGTTGATAATGTGCGAGATTCCCATTTACGTACCCTAGGAGCTTATTCAAGAAGGATTGGCATTGGTTAGTTAGACACTTAGACATATTTACAGGAAGATAAGTGACGATTCCTCTTAGGCTAGCTCTCGTGCCTCTCGCAGCAAACAAGAACTAATCGAGTGGACCTGAACTGTTAAATAGACAGAGGGGACCCGGACCACCTCGTGGTTTACACCGAAAAAAAAAATCTACAAAAAGATTAATGCGTGTACTGATTGGATGATTACTCTTTTTTTTTTTAGTACTATTGACTCTATTACAATGTAGTATATGTTCTATACTTTTTTTATCTATTGCAGTTTAAAGAATCAATACCCCACCACGGAGGTTCAATTCTGTGACATTTGTTCAAGTAAAACTACAAAAGTGTCATCTGAATACATGATGTTTGGCCTATTCATTATAACACTTCTATAAGTCTTAAATGAGGAATAGCAATAAGTTGAAGTAGTAGTGGGGTGGGGAAGGCAAGCATGTGAGCACACTGCCCAGAGACTCAGAGAGTGGTGGGGAAGGGGGATCCGAGTAGGAAGGGCAGTGGGTTTGATAATCTTACCACCAACTACATACATAGTTGATAGTACCCTCCTTCATCATATTGCTTCAATTTTAATTGGTTGCTTTTATTTCAATTTTCATCCTGTAATTTTACAGAGGTAAGGTCAAAAAATGTGAGACTGCCATTTTCTTTTTGGTAAAACAAATGCATTATTATATTACTATTAGTATTGAAATTGGTGTTAGCTAGTGTGAGCCACCCTAACACCTGCATTCCCCCTCCTTAAAAGTTAAAACATCTGCTTGTTTGATTGGATGTAATTTGATTGTAATTGTATTGTAATTCATTTCCCCATCAATTACGTTGTTTGGTTGGAGGGAATTGCAATTCCCTTTATTGGCTGAATTGTAATTCATGGCCTCTACCTAAGAATTGCAATTCAGTGGTGAAATGAAAAAATATAGTACTGTGAAGACATTTTTACCCATGTCATTATTCTCATCCTTATCTCTCACAAAGGGCATTTCAGTCATTATATCACTTATTCCCTTTCAATTTCTTGTAATCCTATTACTGCATACCAAAAAACATTGTAATTTGTATTCCTACTTTATTTCCAAATTATTCTTTTCTCACCGAATTACAATTCATTCATTCTAACCAAACTCTCTGTTAGTGTTTTTTTTTTCCTGATTATCTAGGTTTCTCAGCTTCACCATACTAATTTTGAACTCTATAAACTGGTTTTCAAAGTGTATGACAGTATCAGAAGGTAAATTGAGTTTTTCCAATTTCAATATGCAATACCAAATTGCATTTTTCTACGCATAAGAAGTCCAACCCAACTCTAGTTTGATCTCCCACCTTGTTGAATTTTAAATGCAGTTCCTCAACAATTGAATACTATCCTGGAGAAAGATAAAGAACATCATTATAGAGTTGATTTTTAGACCTTAAAACAACAAAAATATTACTACTAAAACACAATCATCATAAGATCACCAAAATAAAAACCTCAATCATATCATACAAAAAGTTGTAAATAAGTTTCAATGCTTACTCAAAATTTTTGGAATCAAAAGGTGAATGGTGGCCGGGCAGTGGGATCTTTTTTTTTTTTTTATCCCGAAATGAATGAGAGTGGGTGAAACATAATTCTGATAGATAAAATTATGTATTTGATTATTGTCAATACTTTTTTGATTGAACTCGTCAAATATTATTATCTTCCTATAATATAAAGTACATTTATTACGTGCACACTCTTAAATAAGGACTGCAAGGTTTTTTTGACACTTAAAAACAAATCATTTTTCTTTGTTTTCTTCCACTGTCTATAGCTTCTTCTTTATTTTTTTTTCCTTGTAATTCTTTTTCTTTTTTGTTAAATTTTTTCTTGTCCTTTGGGTTACGTTCAGTGGGCTTCACGTTCACGATATCACGTACAACATGATCTTTAATTTACTACATGATCATAATCCGCAAATTATGCCCTGGAAACGTGTTCACCGTGAATGGTGAACACAAGTCCAAACGACGTCATTTTTACGCAAAAAAAATAAAATTCGCGAATGTGAAGTTAACGGTGCGCGTTTGATCAAATTATGAATTTTCTGTTATGAGATTATGAATGTAATGTAAATTCATAATCTCATAACAGAAAATTCATAATCGCATAAAAGTAAAATATTTATTAAATTATGAATTTTATGTTATGAGATTATGAATGTAATGTAGATTCATAATCTCATAACAGAAAATTCATAATTTCATAACAGAAAATTCATAATCTCATAACAGAAAATTCATAATCTCATAACAGAAAATTCATAATCTCATAACTGAAAATTCATAATCTTATAACAGAAAATTCATAATCTCATGGTTCCAAAGTGAATGTGTAGGCATGGTTCCAAAGTGAATATGCAGGCATGGATTCATAATTTATGAATGTCCGTGATTTCGGACGGGAATGTGTAGGCATGGTTCCAAAGTGAATGTGCAGGCATGAATTCATAATTTATGAATATCCGAAATCATTGCTCACCTTAAATTAAAGTGAAACCGCGAAATGTGAAAATGAAGAAGAAAAGTCACGCAATTAATTAAGAAAAAAAAAAGAAAAAAAAAAGAGATAACGGTGTACTAACACCGTTGGAACCGTGTTCACCATATAATGATTGATCATAATCTCATACTCTAATTTTTTTTTCTTCAATTGCATTGTGCAATTAAAGAGTAAAGTAAAATAATATCTAAAAACATACTCCGTAGTAAGTATCAATCTAGGTATATCCCTGATTTGTGTCTGTTTTTATGCTAAATTTTTTGTATACATTATGCTATAAGAGTTATATTATAGGGCATCTTCAAAGAAAACTGTCAAAACACCAAAACACCATTTTCCTAATATATGTTATTTATTAGGACATCTCCAAAGAAGACACCAAAACACCATTTAACCTATGATGGAGATATTGGAAACAGCCAAGAATGGGAACCTGGGATCCGAGGCCTAGGACTCAAGATAGAAGACGCCCAATGACCAAAGATGAAGGACTTGAACCAGGTGACCAGATATGAGTGCCAGAATAAGGCTGCCCGACCCGGGTGGTTGGATGCGGGGCCCGGCCTTTGCGGCCGGCCCCAGGCAATCACCGTTCCACCTTGGAGCCTGTCTTCGAGAATGGGCGACCGGAATTGGCCCAAGCTCGAAGCCCATCCTGGGAGTTTGACATAGTCTTGTCAGCCAAGTTAGTCAAGTTAGATATTTTTATGTATAAATAAATTTTGTACAAGTATTACATGATCATGTCTTATTATTATAAACTTTTTGTAATATTCTAACTCTAATTCATCAAATACTATTACAATTCTGCTCAATTATCCATTTTATCATTATATTTTATACGAGTTAAGTTAATCCTTTTAGAGCCCAAATCATTTACCATCAGGTAGGATTCATCTTACTCTGCAAATTACATATACGCTATAAGCATAGCTGGCTAGCTGCATATGATAAAGGATCGCAAAAAGGGCGCGAAAATCCGACAAGTGGGCGGTGATGATGTCAGAATATGGGCCAAGATTCATGACGGTTACATCTGGATCTTTGACTGGTCACTTGACAAGTTGACAGGTACTACGATGAGCCACTTCACCGATGCTGTGGAAACGTGTTCACAATGTGTATGGTAAACATAAGGGTAGATTCATAATTTTTTTACTGTAAATTTATAATTTTTTTTTTTTGAAAACGTAGATTCATAATGCGTAGGGGTGTTTATTTGTTTTTGGGATAATGGTCAAATAGACCATTCAACTATAGGCCAAAGTGCAATTTGTCCATTAAACTAACAAAAGCTTCAATTAGACCCTTCATCTTTTCACTTTTATGCAATTAAGTTAATTAACAAGTTACATTTAGGCCACAAGTAAAAATTTCGAGATTTTCTCTTTTGGCTAGCTGGGCATCAGAGATGGCAACATATCTTTGAACCAATTCAACCGAACTCTAATGGACACATTGGTATGTATAAATATTGGTAATCCCTCTTTCTTCATAGAATGAACTGTCGAGCGCCGCCGCTCCGACGAAGGAGAAATTCACACCTCCCTTTGTAGTAATGTCGTCCAAAAGTGCTCCGGCCGACGGTGACAGCAATGGAACCCAAAGCTTTCAGTTGCCAACAAGAGTGGCATTTACCCATTGTTGGGGCTGCCAGTCTTTTTTTTTTTTTTTTTTCTTTTTAAAATCAATTTTACCTGTTACTACTTTGTGTTTACTTGCAAATTGAGCTAATTGCACAAATTTAAGAAGTTATGGACTTAAGTGCATACAAGTAAAGAGATGAAGGGCTTAATTAAAGCTTTTGTTAGTTTATGGATCTAATTACATTTTGACTTATAGTGGAAGGTTCTATTTGACTTTTATCCCTTTGTTTTTTGTTAAATGAATTAAGTAGTGTCCATAAAAAACCTAGCTGGAGATTCAACTGATCATTATGGTAGTTAGAAAACTAACTTTTTTTAAAAAATAATAATAATATAGTCTTTATAAGTTGTTGGCATTAAATAAATAAATAAATAAATCTCCCTCGCGCCTTCAAAAACTGCACTCTCGCCAGTCAACCTTTAGTCATCTCAACTTCCAACTCACTTTTGCTCCACCACCTTCACCATTCCACCGCCGTCACCGCCTCTCCGCCTCTCCATACCCCCAACATTTTCCCATTAAGCCTCACCTTCCCCCCCATTCTGGGTAAGCTCTAATTATGGCTGAAATAGAAACACATGCAAGATATTTGGCGGCGCCGATTTTCTTGCTTATTATCCTAATCTTCTCCCCTTCTATTTTTAGATATTAAGGAATTAAAAGGAAGAAACCTCGATCGGGATGGAAGCTTCTACATCGTCTGAGTCTTGTCTGCAAGGGGGAGAGGAATCAGAGGATACTAAGCTCACTACAGCAGAAGAAGAAGAAGAAGCAGATGAGTATATACAGAGATTGGTTGAGAAAGAAACCTCCATTGATGAGCTTCCTAGGGATTTGTTTATCAGTGGGTCTTGGATTCAAGAAGCTCGTTCAGATGCAATAAAATACATTCTTGATGTTGGTTTCTTCCCGGTTTTGTTTTCTTGATTTTCCTTTGAGTATTAAATCCCATTTTCTCTCTCTCTGTTCTTAATTTTTGCATTTGTGATTCAGAAAAGAGGGTTATTTGGGTTCAGTATAGAGACAGCATACTTATCAGTGAAATATTTTGATCGATTTCTGTCAAGAAGATCCATAGATGTAAGCCAAGCTTTCATTTTTATCTTGAAATTTGACACTTCACTGGTTTTTATTGAATGGGGTTGTTGATTAATGTTGTAATGAAATTAACCATAGGGTAAACAAGATTGGGCAATCAGGTTATTGTCAATTGCTTGCCTTTCATTGGCTGCTAAAATGGAGGAATGTAGAGTGCCATCACTACTAGAATATCCCATGGAATTATACAAATTTGAGAGCAAATTGTTGCATATAATGGAGCTTTTGGTACTCAATGAATTGGAATGGAGAATGGGACTTATCACTCCAATCGCCTTCACCCGATATTTCGTGATGAAGTTTAGCAAAAACTGTCGAGGAAACGCCCAAACGCCAATCGATCAAGGCGCTTTAGAGTCGAAATCTATGGAGATAATGTTGAGAGTGATGGAAGGTAGTGTCTAATGGTTATGGTTTTTGGTAATTAATTTGTTTAGCTTTGTTATTGAATTCTTTTGTTTTTATTTTTATGCAGACATAAAGTTAATAGGTTACAGATCATATGTACTAGCTGCAGCAGCAACATTGCTGGCATTGGATCAAGGACTAAAAAAAGACACCATTGAGGTTAAGATAAATGCCTTACCTAGAAGTGGATTTATTAAAATTGTGAGTCTTAATCTTTATTCTATACATATAAAAAGACCCGAATTGTTCTTTGTTACAGTTTCTTATTTAAATCTTTATAACGTTAACAGGACGATCTGTTGTTCTGCTACAATCAAATGAGGGGGTTAGACACGGAAGAATACGAGTTCATAGAGTCCATCATAGTGTCTCCTCCCTTGTCACCGAAAGAAGAAGGCGAAATCAACGGAGATGAATAAGAAAAAAGGGCTAAAAGATGGACATTGACCAAGAAGCTAACTTCGAGTCTTTGAGTTTAAATTTCGAGTTTATAGCGTTGGGGTGGAAAAGGGCCTCGATATAATGATATAACTATATACATATAAGAGGTTACTACTTACTAGACATCATATCACCGGATTTAGGTCTATATACTTCGTATATTTTTTGAAAGAAGTTCTTTGTAGCGGTTTTTAGGTACACAATGACTTGCTGTCCTCGATTTAGAAAGGGGCGTGTTTGGGATGCTTTGATTTGGTTTGTTTGTGCATTTCTAAAAGCTGAAAGCAAGTGGGGTTTTAAAGGGGGAAATCTGTATGGGTTTGGGAAGTTGTTTGTGTGATTTGGAGCACATTTTGTGAAGGTGAATCATGAAATGTTAATCTGTTTGAATGTTTGTAGCAAGGGGTTTTGAGGTGGGGCCTTTGATCTCCTTTTTTCTCCTATGAAGTTGTGTTGAAAAGGTTGTGGAAAACCCTAAAATAATAAATTGTCTGGAAAGGAAAGAATTTCCATTTTGATTACATTTTAATGAACAAATTTTTGTATATATATAAAAAATTTGTGCAAAGGATAAGGGTTGTCTTTTGCGCCAATAATACATTACGGTTGAATTGTTATATTGTAATAAAAAGTTTAACTTAGCATAATGTTAGAGATATATTTAGAGTATGTACTTTAACGTAAAATTTCAATATATCAAATTGTCAATATTAATATAACTCGACAATCAGATTATAATGTTTTATCATACTCATTTGTTTGAAATGTTTTATAATGTTGAATGTAGCATTATTTAGAGTGCACTCTTATCACCTAATTGATATATGCATTCAAGCACTACAATAAAACAACAAAATACCAACAAAAAATTTAACAATGGATTAAATAGGTGTGACTTACATACCTACGAAGTTTTTCGTTGAAAATTTTAAATTTTGTTACAGTGAAATTCGTGCAAAGATTTGTGGTTTTGCTTTGTCACAATCACTCTCTTTGCAATCCTAATTTAGAAAGGGTGATGAGTTTGGGATGTTTTGCTTTGTTTGTCTTTCTAAAGGCTGAAAGCAAGTAGGGTTTTTGGGAGAAATTTGTATGTGATTTGATTCATCTATCTGTGAACTGTGATGCATGCCAGCCAATGACCATAAAAAGTGTTTTTTTTTTTTAAATTTTAATTTATTTATTTTTAGCTGTGGAGGTGAATCATGAAGTGTTACTTGATCTGATTGAATGTTTGGAGCAATGGCTTTGAGATGGATGGGGCCCTTTGATCTCTGATCTTTCTCCTCCTATGAAGTGGTTGTGTTGAAAAGGTTATGGAAAACCAAGAAATTGTTTGGGTAAAGAGAGAATTTCTATGTTGATTGTTATTCTCCACTCATGATACCAACCAAATGAAATTAAATTGAAACCTCCTAATAATATAAGGTAAATAGATGTGATGTACGATCCGAAAGGAGTGATCAAGTGAGTGAAGCATGATTTTTTGATACTTTTAAAATTATCTCTTAATATAAATAAAAATACAAATTTGATACGCTGAACGTTTGAACTTTTTGTATGATGACAAACTAGTACCCAGTACTAGATTGTAATCTATTATTGCCCATTGTGACCAATCGTTATGCTATGGACCCGTGTCCAGCATGCATGTTGGACATGGGTAACATTGCCGTTAGGCACTGTTATCTTCTTTTTTTTTTTTTTTTTTTTTTTTTTTTTTTTTTTTTTTTTCTTTCAGATCGCTTTGTTATAGGAGTATATGTTCATAATTTTATTACTATATGTTCATAATGTCAGAGCTCTATGTTCATAATTCCATAACTGTACATTCATACTTCCATAACTGTACATTCATAATTCCGTTACTGTACATTCATAATTCAATACTGTAACTTCATAATTTTCGAAACTCTATGTTCACAATTTTAGAGCTCTATGTTCATAATTTTATCACTATATGTTCATAATGTCAGAGCTCTGTGTTCATAATTTCATAACTGTACATTCATAATTGCATAACTGTACATTCATAATTCCGTAACTATACATTCATAAGCAATAACTGTAAAATCATAATTTTCAAAGCTCGATGTTCACAATTTTAGAGCTCTATGTTCATAATTTTATCACTATATGTTCATAATTGTAAGTTCATAATGTCAGAACTCTGTGTTCATAATTTTATAACTTACATTCATAATTCCATAACTGTACATTCATAATTCCATAACTGTACATTCATAATGGCACAAACGAATAACGTCGTTAACGGTGAGACAAAATCAAATTTTTTTTTTAATAACTGAAATGACGCGTTTTCCCTGAAAACGACGTCGTTTTGGACTCGTGTCCACAATGCATTGTGGACATGAGTCCACTGCATAATTTGTGCATTGTGACAGCCCCATCTATACCAAGCTATATGCAAAGGTGACAATTTTTGAAGAGGTAGTAATAAGGTAAATATAATTGGTGGACTTACACATCAAAGCCTATTTTCTCTTATATCCTTTTAAAACCATATCCTAATGTAAATAAAGGTATAGTATGATTTTGATATATCGAATCTTATGTACAATGACAAAAGTACAAAACAATATCATAACATATTGAAGTCTTGTACTGCCCATTTGAAATCCTCATCCATACTTGTGCAAATATGATATATATATATATATATATATATATATATATATATATATATATATATATATATATATATATTTGATTACGAGGAGAGAAAAAATATTTTCTTTGATACTTCTAAAATTCCTCCCAATATATAAATAAAGATATGATTTTAATATATATATTGAATCTTTTATAAAACATGTGAGATTGTAGTGTCTTACCACCCATTTGAAATCCCATCTATACTTATGCAAAGATTATAGTTTTCGGAGAGGCATTAGATCCTCTGCTAGGATTGGCTTTTTGCTAACATATTCATATCATTGTACGTAGGAACTTAACTCATATTATGCAATGAAAAGTCTCTAACTTGTCAAAGTCTAGGAAGATTTTAAGAGATTTTTCTCTAGCAATTTTGTACAATAACTGGACCATGGGGTAACCCTAATTAAGTTGGTCAGACAACTAATTTAGTAATAATTACACACTTTCAAATTCAACTTCTCATGAAAGTTGTCGCATTCTTGGTTTGAACTATTTAAAAGGCGATCGACTTCACTCAGAGCATACAATTCAAGTAATAACAAAATACGACTTAGTATTTTTTTTTTCTACGCATGCTTAGTTGGATGACCAATCAACACAAGTTTTTGCTTCTAGAGCCGATGCGAGGGGTTCGACTCTGGTTGTCAACAACAAAAACCCTCCTTCGACAAATTGAATAATATGTTTCGTCTCAACTAAAAAATTAAATTAATAGTTACACTGTACATCATTTAGATGTCAATATATCAAATATAATGGAAAGAAGTATTTCGTCCCAACTAAATGTGTCTAAATTAATAGTTTGACTTGCATATTTTTATTTGATATATTACATACATATATGCTCAGCATGGCAAGTACATAATCATAGCTCAGTAATCCAGTCTGCATCATAAAACCCAGACTTTCAGGCAGTCCAAAGACAGCAGTGAAACTGAACTGATTAATCATCAATTTCTCAGGACTGGAAAAAGATGCATGCACAAGTGATTCATTAGCTTTCACAGTCAACCCTTAAACGATGTAAAGGAGTTAAATTATTTGTTTCGAAAAATTAATTCTCAAAATGTATCTATTTGAGACAAAGTAGAATTGGAAAGGCTTGTAAATAGCATTTGTCCCCATTGAAAATTTTTTGTGGGTTTGCACTAGTAATTAAGGTTGTTAACGAACCGAACATGAACAAACAGAGGTTGTTCGTTCGTTAATGTTAACGAACACGTTCATGAACATGCAGTGGCGGAGCCAGAAAGCTGGGGTTGGGGAGGGGGGGGGGGGGGGGGCAAATTTATAGAAGAAATTTATTATCTTAGTCGATATTAGTATCAACCACACAATATTATTATATATATACCATATATGATTGTGCCAATATATACACAAATTTCGTCCCTTTACTAACAAAACATTAGGAACGAAGTATAGCTTAGAAAGAAAGAGTGACCACAACATGTCATTTAAAGGACGAAATTTGCAACGTCAATTATAGTTTAGAGACGAAAAGTGAACACGACCAACAATTATGGACGAATTCTACAATGATCTCATAACTTAGGGACGAAAAGTGTAACTTTCGAATTCATTTAATATATACATAATAGATTATTTAAAAAAAAATTAGGAGGGGGGCCAAAAGTATAATTTATCCATATTATAATAATATACCTATATATTTATTAAAAATGAGGGGTGGGGTGGGGTGGGGGGGGGGGACCAGGCCCCCCTTGGGATAGGGGTGGCTCCGCCCCTGTGAACATGTTGTTCATTAACTTTTGCGAACACGTTCGCAAACATGCATATTCGTTAACGTTCGTGAACACGTTCATGAACGCTACATAAACAAACACATGTATTTACATGTTCATGATCATAATTCGTTCGTGAACAAGAAATATCTATGTTCACAAATAATAACCAAACAAACAACATAACAACTATAAAAATAATACAAATAAGTCCACAAATAGCATCTAATATCAATGTGAAAATATCAAGTCTCAAAGAAAAAAAAACACACACACACACAAACTCTTTGTTCACATTACAAGTCAAAAACATAAAAACTTAATTAAAACATAAGGTATTTAGATTCCACATTCGGTATCCCAATAAAATTAATAAAGTAGATAACTGTATAAACTTAAGTTATTGTTCATGAACATGTTTGTGAACACTATTAAACGAAAACTAAACGAGCTGAGTTTATTCGTGAACATTATTAAACAAACATTAAGCGAGTTTGTTCACAAACATTATTAAACATTATTTGTGTACTGCAAGTACATTATTTGATAGTATACAAAATAATGTATTTTTAGTATTTAAATAATGTACTTTCAAATTATATAGTTTATATACACAAATTATTTATGGTTTACACGGTTGGACTATGATCCACTCAATAATGCTCCTTTAGATAGTTAGATCATTGGGGCTCAGAAGTATATTATTAAAGAACATAATGTTGTACAATTGTTATGTCATGGAACCGTGTCTACCTTGCAAGGTAGACATGATTCTATATTCATAATTACTGAACTCTACGTTTATAATTATAAAATTCTATGTTCATAATTTTTGAACTTCATATTCACAATTATTGAATTCTATATTCACAATTACAGAACTCTATGTTCATAATTTTTGAACTTCTTATTTATAATTATTGAATTCTATATTCACAATTACAGAACTCTATGTTCATAATTATAGAACTTTATGTTCATAGTTTTTGAACTCTATATTCACAATTATGACAGTTTTGTGTACAACATAATTTGCCAATGTTATCCAGGTGGGTTGCTTGAAGGGGCAAATTATGCTGTGCATCCGTATGCACCATGCATGGTGCATACGGATGCAAAAA